TTGTTATTATGTTGTTATTATGTTATGCTGTTATTATGTTATTATGATGTTGTTATTATGTTATGTTATGTTGTTATTATGTTGGCGTTGTTGTTATGTTATGTTGTATTATGTTATGTTCTGTTGTTATTATGTTCTGTTTATGTTATTATGTTGCGTTATGTTGTTATTTATGTTGTTATTATGTTATGCTGTTATTGCGTTATTGGCGATGTTGTTATGTTATGTTATGTTGTTATTATGTTGCGTTGTTGTTATGTTATGCTTGTTATTATGTTCTGTTCTGTTGCTGTTATGTTATGTTATATGTTATTATGTTCTGTTGTTATTATGTTATGTTGCTGTTTATGTTCTGTTGTTTATTATGTTGGCGTTATGTTGTTAGTCGTTGTTGCAGTGCGCTGTTATTATGTTCGTTCTGTTGCATATGTTCTGTTCTGTTGTTATTATGTTATGTTATGTTGTTATTATGTTGTTATGTTATGTTGTTATTATGTTATTATGATGTTGTTATTATGTTATGTTATGTTGTTATTATGTTATGTTGTTGTTATGTTATGTTGTTATTATGTTCTGTTCTGTTGTTGTTATGTTATGTTATGTTGTTATTATGTTCTGTTGTTATTATGTTATGTTGTTATTATGTTATGTTCTGTTGTTATGTTATGTTATGTTGTTATTATGTTATGTTATGTTGTTATGTTGTTATGCTCTGTTGTTATTATGTTATGTTATTGTTATGTCATGTTATTCCTTGGTCATGGTTGGTATTTAAACAAGTTTCTCCAGATCACCTGAAGATTAGCACCCCAGCTTATTTTACCTGATGATTAATTAAGAACTGTAACGCTACCTGGGGAGGGTTAGGTTAGGTTAGGTTAGGTATGGTTGAGGTTATGTAGTAGGTTATGGTTAGGTGAATAGGTTATATGGTGGTTAGGTTAGGTTTATGAGTTATGGTTAGGTTATTGTTAGGTTAGGTTAGGTTATGTTGAGGTAGGTTATGGTTAGGTTAGGTTAGGTTGAAGGCTATGGTTAGGTTAGGTTAGGTTAGGTTATGGTTAGTTAGGTTAGGGTTAGGTTAGGTTAGGTTAGGTTAGGTTATGGTTAGGTTATGGGTTGAGGTTATGGTTGTGTTAGGGTTAGGTTATGGTTAGGTTGTTAGAGTTAGGTTATGGTTAGGTTAGGTTATGGTTAGGTTAGGTTAGGTTATTGTTAGGTTATGGTTAGGTTAGGTTAGGTTAGGTTAGGGTGTCTAATCTTCAGGTGGTTGTTCTCCCTCAGCGCTGACCGCCGCCCACCACACTGTAAACATTATACCGTTGTGTTTACATTGCTGGCTCACACCTGCCCAAACCCGCCCACACACACCTGCCTATACCCGCCCACACACACCTGCCTATACCCGCCCACACACACCTGCCTATACCCTCCCACACACACCTGCCTATACCCTCCCACACACACACCTGCCTATACCCTCCCACACACACACCTGGCACCGGCAACTCCGCTCTGGTCCACTGTCTGATAGGTTGATATAGAGTGTATACAAACTATGTACAATAATAATATCATATTACACGCACACACACACACACACACACACACACACACACACACACACACACAGGTATACAAACAATGTACACAAGGTCAGCATCTCCAAACAGTATCTCGTCAGGATGGGTCTGGTGACTTCCCAAATGCTACCTGCAACTCGTCATGTCCCGAGAGGGTTGGTATGCCTAGTTCTGTGTCCCGGGAGGGTTGGTATGCCTGGCTCTGTGTCCCGGGAGGGTTGGTATGCCTGGCTCTGTGTCCCGGGAGGGTTGGTATGCCTGGCTCTGTGTCCCGGGAGGGTTGGTATGCCTGGCTCTGTGTCCCGGGAGGGTTGGTATGCCTAGCTCTGTGTCCCGGGAGGGTTGGTATGCCTATCTCTGTCTCTCGGGAGGGTTGGTATGCCTGGCTCTGTGTCCCGGGAGGGTTAAGAACATAAGAATGGAGGAAACTGCAGCGGGCCTATTGGCCCATACTGGGCAGTCCCGTTTACACCCAACCCCTATTGCTCATATAAGCATCCAACCTATGTTTGAAGCTATTCAGCGTATTCGAGTTAATGATGATATTTGGTAACTTGTTCCATTCATCCACTGCTCTGTTTCCAAACCAGTGTTTACCTATCTCGCGCCTAAATCTAAATTTGTCTAATTTAAACCATTGTTACGAGTTCGCTCCAGGTTGATAGTTTGAGTACCTTTGTAATGTCCCCTTTGTTTAGCCCTGACTTCCACTTATACACCTCTATCAGGTCGCCCTCGCTCTACGTCTCGAGGAGTGCAAATTAAGATGCTTTAACCTGTCTCTATACTCAAGGTTCCTAATGCCCGATTAGTCTTGTCATTCTCCTGAATTCTTTCCAAGGATTCTATATCCATTCTGTAATACCGTGACCAGAACTGAACTGCGTAATCCAGGTGTGGTCTCACAAGAGCAAGATACAGTTTTAGGATGACCTCGCTAGTCTTGTAACTAACACTCCTTTGTATGAACCCAATTACTTTATTAGCCTAGTTACGAGCAAAAACACATTGTTTACTTGGCTTAAGGTTCCTACTTATCATTACTCCTAAATCTCTCTCGCAGTCGGATTTCTCTATGGCATCGTTGTTCATCTGGTATCTGGTTTCCTTGTTTACATCTCCTATACTGAGTACTTTACATTTGTCCACGTTGAATTTCATCTGCCATTTTTCAGACCATTCGAAAAATTTATTTAGATCTTCCTGTAGTTTTCCTGAGTCCTCGTCAGATTTTAATAACACGTCCTATTTTAGTGTCATCAGCAAATTTACTTATGTTGCTGTCTATGCCGATATCTATGTCGTTTAGTGCTATAATAAATAATAATGGGTCCAAGTACTGAGCCTTGGGGAACTCCACTTGTGACGTTGCTCCAATGGGACTTAGTGCCGTTAATGCTCACTCGCTGTTTCCTGTCCTGCAACCACGCCCTAATCCATTTAAGGATGTTACCTTTGATGCCATGTGCTTCTATCTTTCTAATTAGTCTTTCGTGGGGGACTCTGTCGAAGGCTTTGCTAAAGTCGAGATATACCACATCATAATTGTGCCCCTCGTCCACCGATTCGAAAACTGATGAAAAGAATGTTTATAGATTAGTTAGACAAGAACGTCCGCTTGTGAAGCCATGCTGGGAATCATTGATCAATCGGTGCTTCTCCAGGCATTTCGAATAGAATTTGAAATGATTGCTTCCAGTAATTTGCCTCATTGATGTTAGACTGATTGGGCGGTAGTTAGAGGATAGTGATCTATCCTCCTTCTTGAAAATCGGTATTATATTCGCTATCCTCCAGGATTCTGGTACTACACCTGTTTTTAAGGACATGTTAAACAACTTTGGTAAGGGCATACTAAGCTCTTCCTTACATTCCTTTAATACTCTGGCAAATATCTCATGGGGACCAGGTGACTTAATAGGCTTTAGTTTGTCTGTTTGTCTTTAGTTAGTCAGTATGCCTGACTCTGTGTCATGGGAGGGTTGGTATGCCTGGCTCTGTGTCCCGGGAGGGTTGGTATGCCTGGCTCTGTGTCCCGGGAGGGTTGGTATGCCTGACTCCATCTGGTAACCCAACACCATATTAATTACACGGGAAATAAAAACAACATTGTATTATGTTAAACTATACAGAAGAGGAATGACCATATACCATTATCTATGATCCGCGGTGTGTTAATGTTTCATATAGCGGTCAGATACTTTTTTGGGGACGTACTGTGATATAGACGGGGAGGTAAACAACATAGACGGGGAGGTAAACAACATAGACGGGGAGGTAAACAATGGTAAACAGAAAAGCGATTCGAATATGGATAAGTAAACAAAGCGTCCATATTGCTTATTGCCAGTACCTGAGGGGTAGAGGGGGAGGGGAAGAGGAAGGGGTGAAGGAGAGGGAGAGGGGAGGAAGAAGGAAAGGGGTGGGAATAAAGAGAGGGAGATAGGGGAAAGGAGGAGGAGGTACCTGGATTATTATTATTATTATTATTATTATTATTATTATTATTATTATTATTATTATTATTATTATTATTGTTTTATGATAGCTAAAAAATATGGTTCTCTCTCTCTCTCTCTCTCTCTCTCTCTCTCCGTTTTTACGCAATATTTTCAGTTAACAAAAATAAACAATATAAGTATTATCGTCTAATATTTTGGGTAATAAATAGAAAACTTGCTGTCAGGTGTGTGTGTGTGTGTGTGTGTGTGTGTGTGTGTGTGTGTGTGTGTGTGTGTGTGTGTGTGTGTGTGTGTGTGTGTGTGTGTGTGTGTGTGTGTGTGTGTGCACCACTAATTGATAGTGCTGTGATGCTGGGGATATCAGGAGTTTCGACCATTTTACATGTGGGTTGGATGGATACTGTCGGGGGTAGGGTGGGGGTAGGGGTGGGGGGGGGGGGGCGTATGTACACAATGACTGACAGAGAGAGAGAGAGAGAGAGAGAGAGAGAGAGAGAGAGAGAGAGAGAGAGAGAGAGAGAGAGAGAGAGAGAGAGAGAGAGAGAGAGAGAGTAGAGAGAGAGAGAGAGTTTACATACCACAGGAAACATTAAAATTATTACATCACTCTACAGCAACAAGTTCACACACACACACACACTACACACACACACACACACACACACACACACACACACACACACACACACACACACACACACAGTAATATCCAGGTGATAAGATTCTTAATTAAGAATAATGGCCAGGTAAGATAGGGCAGGGTGAGGGAAGGAAGGAGAGAGAGAGAGAGAGAGAGAGAGAGAGAGAGAGAGAGAGAGAGAGAGAGAGAGAGAGAGAGAGAGAGAGAGAGAGAGAGAGAGAGAGAGAGAGAGAGTGCTACGTCACGGAACATCCTCGTCACCCCGCCGACAGACACAAGGTCATGACACCTCAGCCAAACACCAGTATTCAGTACCATTTCTGCAGCAGTGGGTCCTCCTGCAGGCGCTGTAGAGGTGCAGTGCAGTTCATTCTTAAGGTCCTTGCTGTGTGTGTTTGTACGTGCGACCGACAGCGTGTGTGTGAGTGTGTGTGGGAGCATTTGCGTTTGTCCTTGACCATGAGCGCTCCCACACTACCACCAATAACCACTCACGCCACCAACACCACTACCACACACTATCACTATCACTATCACCTCACTCTCATTATCATCACTATCACCTTCTCCTCTTCCTCATTATCCTTCACTGTACATCACCTTCAGTTTTCCATTCTCTGTAATCCTTTCATTTCAATATCCTGTTAAATCAATCACATCTCAGGTTAATTAACACACCAGGTAGACAATGAAGGTCAGAGGTCAGGTGGTGGTGATCGGAACACCTGTATGGGCATATGAGGGTCACCAAAAGGTTTAAGAGATGGAGGGCTTATGGGGGAGGGGGTGGGCTGGATGGTGGGCTGATGGTGGGCTGATGGTGGGGGGAGGAGGAGGAGGGGGGTAATACGTCTCTGACCACGCGCTGTGTTGCCTGTGTGGCGTGCAGGTACACTGAACACCGCCAGCCAGGTGATGATGACAGAGGTGGGACACACACACACACACACACACACCACCCGCGCGCACACACACACACACACACACCACCTCGCACACACACACACACACACATACCTCTTTTTTCACTTCACCTGCCCACCTGTCTAGTACTCGTGGGGTGAGGTTAACAAAGAACCTATAGTTGTTCCTCAAGGTAATGGTTCTGTTAGACTCTCAAGGTAATGGTTCTGTTAGGACTCTCAAGTGTGATGGTTCTGTTAGACTCAAGGTGATGGTTCTGTTAGACTCTTAAGGTGATGGTTCTGTTAGACTCAAGGTAATGGTTCTTGCTAGACTCTCAAGGTGATGGTTCTGTTAGACTCTAAGGCATGGTTCTGTTAGACTCTCAAGGTGATGGTTCTGTTAGACTCTCAGCAGATGGGTTCTGTTAGACTCTCAAGGTGATGGTTCTGTTAGACTCTCAAGGTGATGGTTCTGCTAGACTCTCAAGGTGATGGTTCTTGTTAGACTCTCAAGGTGATGGTTCTGTTAGACTCTCAAGGTGATGGTTCTGTTAGACTCTCAAGGTGATGGTTCTGTTAGGACTTCAAGGTGGATGGGTTCTGTTAGACTCAAGGTGATGGTGGTTCTGTTAGACTCTCAAGGTGATGGTTCTGTTAGACTCTCAAGGTGATGGTTCTGTTAGACTCTCAAGGTGATGGTTCTGTTAGACTCTCAAGGTGATGGTTCTGTTAGACTCTCAAGGTGATGGTTCTGTTAGACTCTCAAGGTGATGGTTCTGTTAGACTCTCAAGGTGATGGTTCTGTTAGACTCTCAAGGTGATGGTTCTGTTAGACTCTCAAGGTGATGGTTCTGTTAGACTCTCAAGGTGATGGTTCTGTTAGGACTCTCAAGATGGTTCTGTTAGACTCTCAAGGTGATGGTTCTGTTAGACTCTGATGGTTCTGTTAGACTCTCAAGGTGATGGTTCTGTTAGACTCTCAAGGTGATGGTTCTGTTAGACTCTCAAGGTGATGGTTCTGTTAGACTCTCAAGGTGATGGTTCTGTTAGACTCTCAAGGTGATGGTTCTGTTAGACTCTCAAGGTGTTGGTTCTGTTAGACTCTCAAGGTGATGGTTCTGTTAGACTCTCAAGGTGATGGTTCTGTTACACTCTCAAGGTGATGGTTCTGTTAGACTCTCAAGGTGATGGTTCTGTTAGACTCTCAAGGTGTTGGTTCTGTTAGACTCTCAAGGTGATGGTTCTGTTAGACTCTCAAGGTGATGGTTCTGTTACACTCTCAAGGTGTTGGTTCTGTTAGACTCTCAAGGTGATGGTTCTGTTAGACTCTCAAGGTGATGGTTCTGTTAGACTCTCAAGGTGTTGGTTCTGTTAGACTCTCAAGGTGATGGTTCTGTTAGACTCTCAAGGTGATGGGTTCTGTTAGACTCTGATGGTTCTGTTAGACTCTCAAGGTAATGGTTCTGTTAGACTCCTGGTGATGGTTCTGTTAGACTCTCAAGGTGATGGTTCTAGACTCTCAAGATGGTCTAGACTCAAGGTGATGGTTCTGTTAGACTCTCAAGGTGATGGGTAGACTCTCAAGGTGATGGTTCTGTTAGACTCTCAAGGTGATGGTTCTGTTAGACTCTCAAGGTGATGGTTCTGTTAGACTCTCAAGGTGATGGTCTCAAGATGTCTGTTAGACTCTCAAGTGATGGTCTTGTCTTCAAACACCAATTGCGGGGTTGTTGGTATCCAGTGAGGGGGAGGGGGAGGGGGGGAGGGGGAGACGCTGGGGTGTAGTACAAGGCAAAGTTCTGGACCCCTACTTCCTTGTCGGGGGGAGGGAGGGTGGGAGGGGGGGGAAAGGAGGAGAAGGAAGGTCAGACTCTAGGTTAGGGGAAGGGGAGGAAGAGGGGGACAAGGTCGCTGCCTTGCCCCTTCAACTCCCTAAATCTCCTACCGTAACCCTCCCCCCTCCTATTCTTTCTTCTCCCCCTCACGCTCTACACGGCCCCACCCTGGCCCACCCCCCCACCCGGTCACCCAGGTAGCCACAGGTAGCACTAATTCGGGAGGTCATTGGCCCACTGGGGTTATAAGAGTCACGCGTTAGGCAGGCTGGGGTACACCTGTAACACCTGCCTGCAAGACTCCTCCTCGGCCTGCAACACCCCCTTCACCACGACCTACGATACCCCCTGACCCACAACACACGACCTACAACACCTCCTGACCTACACCACGACCATAACACTCTTTCGACCCATAACACCTTTCGACCTACAACACTCGACTGGCTAACACCTCGACCCATAACACCCCCTGACCCACAACACTCTGACCTACAACACTCGACCTCGACCTGCCAACACTTCGACCCACAACACTCGACCCATAACACCCGACCTACAACATTCCCGATCTACAACACGCCTGACCTACAACACGCCCGACTCCATAACATCTTGACCTACAACATCTCCCTGACCCATAACACCTGACCTACAACACATCGACTCCACTTAACACTTCGACCTACAACACCCCCGACCCACAACATCACCCCCGACCTACAACACCCCGACCACAACACTTCGACTCCACAACACTTCGACTCTACAACACCTTCGACCCACAAATAACACCCCCTGACCTACAACAACACGAGTCGACTCAACACTTCGACCTGGCTAACACTCGACCTACAACACCATCGACCTACAACACTCCAAACCCACAATACTCCCCCCGACCCATAACACCATCGACCTGGCCAACACTTCGCAAGTGACATAACATCTCTTTGACTCAACACTCGACCCATAAATACTTGACCCACAACACTCCCCTGACCTACTAACCCTCGACCTACAACACCCTCGAACTACTGTAGGCTCTCTCTCTCTCTCTCTCTCTCTCTCTCTCTCTCTCTCATTTCATATCAAGATAAACAAACTAATTCCTGATCTGCCAATGACCTGTCCAGTCGTCTCGGGTTAAGTACCGCCCCCCTCCCCAAAGAATGTATAGTGTATAACTGTATCCGTCCTGGGGTATAGTTATGCATCGTATATGCATCGACAGGTATGGCTCACGGTTTAACACACACACACACACACACACACACACACACACACACACACACACACATTTTAATTATTGATATAGATATTGAAACAGTTTATTTAACCAGAGTAACACAGATACAGAGTCGAAAAAAATAGCAATATTAACATGGCTGAGCCATTGAACATAAACATAAGAAAATAAGGAGTCTGCAATAGGCCGGTTGGCCTGTGCATGGCAGCTCCTGTCGAGAGTTACTACCACTCTCTATCATCCATGAATCTATCTAGCCTCCTTTTAAAATTCTCCAGAGTTCCCGCACTTACTACAAAGTTGCTAAGCTTGTTCCACTCGTCCACCACCCTATTTGTGAACCAGTTCCTTCCTATCTCCCTCCTAAACCTAAACTTATCCAAATTAAATCCGTTGCTCCGAGTCCTATCCTGCTCGGATATTGTAAGAACTTTATCTATATCCCCTTTATTGATTCCTTTCACCCACTTAAATACTTCTATCATATCTCCCCGCACTCTTCGTCTTTCTAGGGAATGCAAGTTTAGTTTCTTTAATCTATCCTGATATGGAAGGTTTCTAAGTCCCGGAATCATTTTCGTCATTCTTCGCTGCACCGACTCCAGTGAAATGATATCCATTCTATAATAGGGGCACCAGAACTGAACAGCATAATCGAGGTGCGGCCTGACTTGCGTAAGATATAGTTGCAATAAGACCTCTGACTCTTATTACTTACACTTATAGATATAAAACCTAATACTCTGTTTGCCTTATTTCGAACATTAGCGCACTGTTTTCTAGGCCGTAGGTCCGGGCCTACAAGTACCCCTAGGTCTCTTTCACAAGTCGACCTTTCTAGGTTGATGTTGTTAAGGCTGTATACGTTGACAGTATTTGTTCTACCAATATTAAGTACGCTGCACTTGCTGGTGTTGAATTTCATTTGCCATTTCTCTGACCACTCCTGCAGTTTATTTAGATCCTCCTGTAGTGCATTTGCATCTTACCCTGAATTAATTTGCCGCCCTATTTTGATGTCATCCGCAAATTTGCTTATGTCACTGCTGATCCCAGTATCTAGCTCGTTTATATAGATTATGAACAAGAGTGGGCCCAGTACTGACCCCTGGGGGACCCCACTGGTTACACAGCCCCACTCAGATTTAACACCATCTACGCTGACCCTCTGTGTTTTATTTGTGAACCACGATTTTATCCAATTTAAAACTTTCCACTCGATACCATGAGCCTTAATTTTTCTCAGAAGCCTCTGATGCGGTACTCTGTCAAACACTTTGCTAAAGTCTAAGTAAATAACATCGTAATTTTCGTCATTATCTACTACCTCGAAGACTTTCCTAAAAAACGTTCAGCAGATTTGTTGGACAAGATTTTCCCTTTGTAAACCCATGTTGAGAGTCGTAGATTAATTTGTTTTTCTCTAAATGCGATCGAATGCTATTTGCTATAATTGACTCAAGAAATTTCCCCACTACTGACGTCAAACTAATCGGCCGGTAATTTGACACTGATGCTCTGTCTCCCTTTTTGAATATAGGTACCAGTACCTGTTTCCACAAGCCTTGCACAACTCCCGTGTCTAATGATTTTGTAAACACATTTACGAGGGGTCCGCTAATCTGTTCCTTACACTCTTTCAAAACTCGAGGGAAAATTTCATCCAGGCCTGGGGATTTTGTCTTCTTTAATTTATTTATCCTCTTAAGAACATACTCTTTTCTGATAGTGATATTCTTTAATTTCCCCTAAATATCAGTTCCACCTCTGGAATTTCCTCGTGAATTTCTTCTGTGAAAACTGATAAGAAGTAGCTGTTCAA